TCGTTAATTATGTGCGTCGGTTCGTCCCCGACATGGCACGATTAACTGCCCCGCTGACGGATTTACTGCGGAAGGGGGTCGCTTTTACGTGGGGGGAGAAAGAGCATGCTGCCTTCTCTGCCCTGAAAAATGTTCTCTGTTCACCGCCCGTACCGCGCATCGCCGACCCACACCGCCCATTCGAAGTAGTTACAGACACAAGCGATATCACCATTGGAGCCGTACTGCTACATGATTTCGGCAACGGTTTACAGCCCATCGCATACGAGTCACGAAAACTGCATCCGCCCGAGAAGAATTACCCGATACACGACCGTGAAATGCTCGCGATCGTGCATGCATTCAAGGTCTGGCGATGTTACTTGACCGGCGCAGACGTGACAGTACGGACGGACCACAGATCCCTACAGTACCTCCGCGCACAGCCCCACCTCAACCCACGACAGATCCGCTGGCTCGATTTCCTCGAGTCAAATTTCCACTACACGGTCACCTATAAAAAGGGAGCATCGAACATTGCCGACGCACTGACCCGCCCAACTGCCCAGATCCACGCCATACTACTCACACAGACCAGCCTGCTACTGACAGGCCTATTTACCCACGGGTATCAGACAGACCCCTTTTTTACCGGAGGCAACTCGCAGCAGTTCGCAGCAGCAAAAGGGGTATATTACGTAAAAGCCGGCACCGACCGCATCTGGGTACCGGGCTACACTTTACTAAGGGAACTGTTACTACAGGAGGCACACAACGGGGTCACCTCAGGACATTTCGGGGTAGAAAAAACACGGCAGCAGCTGCAGCGGTATTACTACTGGCCCGAGATGCTGACCGACGTGCAACGACACGTGGCATCGTGTCCCACCTGCCAGCTCATGAAGTCGTCACGACAACGACCGGCAGGACAGTTGCAGCCGATACCACCCCCAGAGCGCGCTTGGCAGCAGGTGACGATGGACTTCGTCACGGGGTTACCGGCTGGAGCAAGTGGGAACGACGAGATCCTGGTCGTCATCGATCGGCTGACGAAGATGGCACACTTCGCAGCCTGCAAGAAATCAATCACAGCCGAAGAAACAGCCCGCCTCTTCATCTCCACCGTCGTTCGACTACACGGGATACCAGCATCAATTATCAGCGACCGCGACACGAAATTCACCAGCAACTTCTGGCGAAACCTGTGGCAGCAGTTCGGCACGCGACTACAGTTCAGCTCCTCATACCACCCCGAAACCGACGGACAGACAGAACTGACAAACCAGACCATGGAACAGCTCATCCGAGCCACGTGCGACGACCCGACCACGTGGGAACAGCAACTGCCACTCATCGAGTTCGCATACAACAACTCGCCATCTGCCACGACCCAACAGTCACCGTTCTTCCTGAACTACGGACAAGACCCCACAGTACCCATGACCCCGAATCCCGACAACCCAGTCCCACGCGCGCAACAGTTCGCAGAAATAATGCAAGCAGCACGGACCCGAGCAGCAGAAGCAATAAAAAATTCAAACGTCATCGCTAAGCGCAACGCCGACCGACACCGCCGCCCCGTCACTTACCAACCCGACGACCTGGTATTACTCGACACTCAAAACCTCCGACTGCCCATCACCCCAAAACTCCGCCCCCGATATTGCGGGCCATTTCGCATCAGCCACATGATCACACCCGTCACCGCCCATCTCCTCCTCCCTGCTGACTGGTACGTCAGCCCGTCATTCCACGTCAACCTGCTTCGCCCATATGTGCCATCCACCAGCCAACTGCCCCGAAACTGCCCCGCCTGCATGACACGACCACCGACAGAGCCAATCATCACGCCCGAAAAAATACTGAGCCACCGAGTACGTGACCCACGGGGAGCCCGCAGGATCGAATTCCTAATCCGCTGGAAAGACCGCACGCCAACCGAAGACAATTGGGTTCCCCTGGATAGAATTGAGAATCACCCTGTCTTGACTGAGTATCTGCGTAGCCGAAACTTTCGGGATGTACATGCGCTCTCGTAAGAGGGGCCTCCTTGGGGAGGGGGGTAGTGTAAGGAAAATTGCTTTTCCTTACTTCGCGTCCCTGCTTACCGCGTACATGCTCGTTCCCGCCATCGGCACCCATCCGTGAACGTTACCCGCTCGCGACACTCGCCTCGACCACGACTCCCGCCACTGTTCACGATGCGACCCAACCTCACGGTTCGGTTGGAAACCCGCGCTCCGGACCTCCGCCTCGACAATTCCCAACCTCGGCGCTAGGCCCGTAGCGCACCCCAATTTCCCGCATTACCGTTACCACGCTAGCTTCGCTATATAACTTCGCTCATACTTTTCGCTCAACTGTATTGTTTGCTTCGATAGTGCAATTCTCGCTCGCTCGCTCAATTGCACTCGTAACACAGAGATTGTTCCGCATTGCATGTGCTTCACTTGAGGTGCAGCTTGTACCTACCACTGTGCTGTGCTGCCATCCCCTCGTGTCACCACCCATGCAGCACCGTTTGTAACACCCAGCGCCTTCAGAACCGGCTTGGAACACATCCAGATTAAGAGGGAGAAAAGGGCGTTGCGCTGCGTTTGAAAGGAAACAGAAGACAAGAAGACGGGCCAAGGCAAACATGCTAGGTCCATATGCACGCGAGGGCTATAGCAGCAGGGAACAAGGCAGCCTCAGCTGGTGGTACGTTGCAACAGACACTCCAGCTCTGAGCGCAATGCGTGTGGCCTCCACTATCTATGCTCGCCTCAGCCCTACCCCCTCTGCGCCCTTGCCTCTCAGCAGCGCCATCACCACCTCCCTGTGCCATACGGTGGGACGGAGGGAGGGAGGGAGTGATGATGAGTGCAGGAGTGCACAGCACCCCGTGTGCTATGAGTGTACTGTATGATTCTAGCAGAACCATTCAGGGGATTCTGGTGAGGTCATGGAGTTGATGCACCCGAGACGGCAAGGCTGAGAGGATGAGCCCTACTTTCACAAGTTTGCTTTCTCACATGATGGAAAGATCCAAGTCAGGCTGACCAACCACCAGGCAAGCATGTCATTACATTGAGCCAGGCAGGCAGTAAGGCAGGCAGGAAAGCAGCAGACAAGCAGGCACGGATTCAGCCAGGGAAGCAAGCATAAGAGAAGGCGGAAAAGAAGATTGGCACATTACCAAACCAGGAGCTGTGGTATTGATGTGAGGGGATGGCACCATGTGACACTGTGAAATAGTGTGTGAAACATGTGTAACAATGTGTGCGTGTAACAGAAACCCCAAAACTCACCTCTGGGTCAGCTGGCGGGAGCTTTCGCAGCCTTGGCTGCCGTTACAGCCGCTACTACAACCTGAGGTGACGGCCCTGCCGTCCTCTGCTGCTCCTCCGCTGCTCGCTGCAGCTTATGGAAGAAGGGGAAGGGCGGGGACTACGTGGGAATGTACGCTCTGGACAACGAGCGTCCAGCGTATATGCGCTAGCGTCTGTACGCTAGACGCTGGACGCTAGATCCCCAAACATTGTCTGGCAGCCTGATGGTCTTTTGTGTGTGTGTGTGTGTGTTTTGTTCTGATTTTTTTCCCCCGCGACGAATGCCAACATCGCGACTTCAACGCGAATGTCGGTTCGAAGTAGATCTGGTTTAGTCTCGTCAAAACAAAACCAGATCCAACATTTTGTGATTGCGTATTCACTTGCAACCGCATTTCACCCCGTCAAATCTAGCAGATCCACCCTCCCCCCCTCCCCGCCCCCCTCCCCACCCAGGCACATTTCCCTTCCAGAGATAGTCGACTAATATGTTTCATTAGAGAACTTACCCACAACAGATTACTCCCAACAGCCACAGAACGTGGACTCCCCCCTTTTTTTCCGCCTGCCCGGTTTTGCCTGACCGACTGAAGCGTGTATGTAGCGTCTAGGTCTGGACATCCAAGCGCCCAGCGTATAAAAAGATTGCGTCTGGTCGCTAGCATATGGGACGCTGGACGCGTCCATGCCCACATAGGGTGGGGAGGGTGGAAAGGGAAGGGGAAGGATGGGAAAGGGTTGTGACAAGAAGGGAATGGGGCAGAGGACGTGTGGGCTGCGAACTCGAGAGTATTATTAAACTCAAGAGTCTGATCAGCCCTGCTGCGAACACGAGGGCTGTGCCTACCTGCACACGTGGCTGCACCTACATGCACCGCTCCTTCACCCCATGCATCAATCAGAAGTGCGACCCCATACATGTCAATCAGCTGTGCTGCGTGCGCGGAGCACACGGAGTGAGGAAACTGGTGGAGTGTATAATCCCCGCGACCCCGCGCACTGGCCGATCAGCTCTGCCACGCGCGCGCAGCACAGCGAATAACGCAACGCGTGCGGAACATCCTTTCAGATCACTCATATCCGACATGAATGCACGTGTCAATCAGCTCTGCCACGTGGAGAGAACACGTGCTGAAAAAAAGGTGACTTGGATGAATGAATGAGCGGAAGGAGGCGGCAAAATTACTAATCTAGGAGGAGCGAGAAACGAGCAAAGCTGAAGTACGAATTAGTGCGAAATACACGCGGAACTTGTTCTCGAACTTGCATAGCCGGTCGATTCAGTTGCGAGTGAAGGACTGTGCGACATCCTAGCGAAGCAATTACTGCAAAGCGACGGGAACAAAAGCAAGGCATACGAAAAGCAACATGAATGCCGGCGCTGTTCGATGCAGTATGACCAAACTGCGCCGTCGATCGCGCTATGCTAATCACCACGTAGCTAAAAATGTACGAGACTGTCGGTGAGTGGGTGGGATGAGCAGATGAGAAAGGGCGCGGTGTGTCAAAAAGCGGGGTTTGGTCATTTGATGAGTCCATGAGGTTAAGGTAAAGGTTATAGGGCACAGTGCAATGGTGTGTGCAGTGTAATGGTGTGTGCAGTGCAATGGTGTGTGCAGTGCAATGGTGTGTGCAGTGCAATGGTGTGTGCAGTGCAATGGTGTGTGCAGTGCAATGGTGTGTGCAGTGCAATGGTGTGTGCAGTGGGCTTCACTCCAACACAAGGCATCCCTCTGCAGCAGAACTCGTTGTTGGCAGAACGGCAGTGGTGCATGTGGAGGGAACGGGAGGGCAGGTGAGGGAAGAGGAGGGCAGGGAAGAGGAGGGGAGCGGAGATGGGGGCAGGGGAAGACAGGAGAGGGCAAAGAGGAGAGATGCAAGACCTTGGCGTCACAGCATTCAGAAAGAAGACCCTGAGCTAGCACATTAACTCTAACCCCCTAAGCATGTGCCTGTATTCACAGTAACACCACCAACACACACCTTCAAGATTGCACGCACCTTGAAGCGACTCCCCAAGCACCCCTGTGCATGACAGCAAGCTCCCTGTAGTGACAGCCCTGCTGCAGGTGCTTGCCCCGGAGAGCCACCCGCACGCTCTTCTCCCTGCCGTCTGCATCTGGTAGGTGCACACATGGAGTGAGTGGGAGACAGCAGATCAAGGGTAGGAGGGGAAAGAGGGCGGGGTTGGGGGGGAAATCCCGCAGGGTCTTGTGGCTCCACCCCAATAACAGTGCTTTTTGACTCGGTTCGAACCTTGGCTTTCTTTCAGCGCACTCAGGAATCGGCCCATGCACGCACCTGCTGGCATCAACACCCACTTCCACCAGCACCCCCTCTCCCTTTTCCTCCCATTTGTTTTCCATAGGTGAGGTGAGAGAGTAGAGCAAGAAAAATGGACTCTAGAGCATCTCCACAACTCTCCTTAGAGCCATCTGCTTGTGTTACAAAAGGCAGTGTTGTCGTGACAAGTATCGGATGATGGGGTAAACAAGAGAAACGGGGCGGTTGGTGGCAGCAGAAGTCAGCAGCCCCTCATGCGCCCCTGTGCTGTGCGCACCCCATCCCAGCCCATCCCAGCCCATCCCAGCCCATCCCAGCCCATCCCAGCCCATCCCAGCCCATCCCAGCCCATCCCAGCCCCCCATGCCCTCGCTCCTCACCTTGCACATCACTTGGTGCTCCCACTCCCCCCTGCCCCCGCCTTCCCAACAGCCAATCCACCACGTCACCCACACGCACGCCAGCTGGCGCCATCTTACTGGGCAGCGAAGATCGTGCTCCCTGCCTTATCCACCTCCTCTAGCCCCTGCGCAAGGAGAGAGGGAGATATGAAAGAGGGGAGGAATGCTCTAGAGGGGACGAAAGGGGGGATGGCGGCGGGTGAGGAGGGGGGGAACGGGGGGAGGAGAGGGGAAGAGGAGGGAAGAGGGGAAGGGAAGAGAAGTGGAGAGAAGGGGAGGGAAGAGGAGGGAAGGGGAGGGAAGAGGAGCGGAGGGGAGAAAAGGGGAGGGAAAGGGAGGGAAGACGAGGGAAGGGGAGGGAAGAGGAGGCAAGGGGATGGTAGAGGAGCGAAGGGAGGGAACACGAGAGAGTGAAGGGAGGGAGGAAAAAATGGAACGCTCCCCAACTGCTGTCCCACCCAGCTGATCCCCACCCCCCAACTCCCCATGCTTCCTCCAATTGATCCCCACCCCCCTTACTCCTCATGCTCCCTCCAACTGATCCCCACCCCCCTTACTCCCCATGCTCCCTCCAACTGATCCCCAAGAACGTTCCCCCAACCCGCTCACCTTGTCTCGACAGTGGATGAGCGATGGTGACGCTGTGGGTGTGAGTGGCAGGTGCGTGACGCTTTACGGGTGTTATGTGGTGACGGGGAGCGCGGGGAGAGTGGAGAGGACGAGCAGGGGCGTGCCTTGAGTGGCGTCACACCACACGCCACTGCATGCCAGTGCAGGTCAGCTGGTTGGGTGTTGAGGGGAGTGGAAACGGAAGGCGGAGGCGGAGGAGAGGGGGAAAGTGGGGAAGAAGGGGGGATGATGAAGAATATTGAAGAGGGCAGATGAAATGACCGACGGGTGAATGGTTGAGAGTGGTGGGAGGAAGCAGATGGCGTTGATGCTGGTGGGCACGTGCATGGCACATGGCAGCGCATGTCATGCAGTTGTGCCAGGCGGGCTGGGAAGCGGGCAGGAAGCAGAAACGAAGGCCAGAGGGCAGAGTGTGTGTAGGAAAGAAAGGCCGGCATGAAACACAAATGAAAACTCTGGAGCAGGAGTAACCATGTGAGAGAATGGCGCCATGTGACAACTTGAAACAATATGAGACAATGCAACACAATGTGTGACAAGAGAGTGCACACGTGGCTGCACCTACCTGCACACGTGGCTGCACCTACCTGCACACGTGGCTGCACCTACCTGCCCACGTGGCTGCACCTACCTGCACCAAGGAATAGATCCCTTGAGAGCTCCCTTGGTAGGGTACCCAGTGAGAGAAGCAGCAGAGGTGCGTTGAGGTGGGTACAGGTGAGTTGAGGATGGGTAGTGGTGGGTAGACGCGGGTGCAGTGACAATGCAAGGGCAATGGCGATTGAGAAGGGTGTGAGCCAGCTTGCTCACTCCACGTTGCCTCATTCCCCCAACCCCCATTCTCCCCACCAGAGAGCAGCAGCAGCTCCGGCAACAGTGGCGGTGGCGACAGCAGTTGCAGCTGCAGGCAGCACCCCAGGCACACGCACTTGGACTCACACACGCCTCGTCTTCTCACCCAGGAGTATCAGCCCCCAGGGCAAGCCATTGACGGGCGTGATGCAAGCTCGTAGCTCCCTGCAGCCCTGTGAAGTGGCCTCTGCTCTGCGTGACGCCCGCTGTGAAGCCCGGTGGAAGAGAGGTGGGAAGAGGATGTGTTGAGGGTTGTGGCCACAAAGCACCACTCCAGCGCGGGCGAGCTGCCAGAGGGGAAACGAGGGAGCATTGCAGAGACAGGCAGAGCGAGGAAGGTGAGTGGAGCAACCCGTGCAGTTTGCAAGTGTGTGCGGCGCGGCAGACAACTGGCTTGAAACGGACTGGGCGTGCTGCTCATGGCATGAAGTGCATCTGGTGTGTTGAAGGTTTGTTCAAGTGCATCGTGCCGCCCTCTGCCGCCCTCTGCCGCCCTCTGCTACCCTCTGCTGCCCTCTGCCGCCCTCTGCTGCTCTCTGCCACCCTCTGCTGTGAGCTCGCTGCCTCGTGCACGGGCAGTGGGGCAGTCAGGCGTGGGAGAGTGCGGCATTGGAGCATCACACCTCAAAGCATGACGTCAGCATGACATCATGGCAGCATGGGATAAGCGTAACGTCACGCGATGAGCATGGGATAAGCGTGACAGCATGAGATGATGAGCATGGGATAAGCGTGACAGCATGAGATGATGAGCATGGGATAAGCGTGACAGCAAAAGATGAGCATGGGATAAGCGTGACAACATGCGATGATGAGCATGGGATAAGCGTGAGAGCATGTGATGATGAGCATGGGATAAGCGTGACAGCATGCGATGAGCATGTGATTAGCAGTATTACAGCATGACATCATGGTTGGGAAGTGGAGTAACATAAGGGGGTTCGGTACGTGGGGGTTGTGTGCATGGTGTTGGGAAGCGGGGGAGATTGCACTACGCACAATATTGACTGGCAGAGACGTCAACTGCTGGAAACGTGGCCCGCACATTAGACTCACCACGTCTTTCACCAACACGCTGACTGATACAAATGTGCACACGTGGCGTTTGAAAATTCACTAGTCGCTCACTCCTTCGTGCTCCCTGCTCATCAGCTGTTGAGAGTTGATTGGCAAATGAGACTCGCGACTGGTTCACAGCTTCCAGCACCACGCTCGCACATAAACCCACCTCGCACATAAGGCCTTCGCAGCCCACCTGTCTGCTTCTGACAGCTCATAAACCCACCTCGCACACTCAACTCACTCACCATGCGATCGCATTATCCAGCACCAACTGTTACAAACGTAATCCGCGAATGGACGCCACAATATTGCTCACGTCATCCATCCCACCGCCCTGAGAGGATTACGGCTGCCACACGAGCTCACCTGCCACGCTCATCGCGCCACGCACGACGCACTCGCGTCGTCCAGCGCCCTGCTGACCACCACGTGGCAGCCCCTCAGCGCGCCGCCAGCTGCTCATCGCCCGTCACGATCGACGACCCTCATCGCCCACCCCATGCACCGCTCCCTCAGGCATGCCGCGTGCACGCAACACACCGAGTGAGGGAAGGCGTGCGGACCATCCCTTCAAACTGCACGTGTCACGTGGCTGTGCTACGTGGGACGAATACTCGATAGCGGAGATACTTGGATGGACTGACGAGCGGAAACACGCGGCGAAATTGATGCACGAGGAGCGCGAGGCGAACGAAACCGCAGTACGAATAAGCGCGGGATTCCCGAGGAAGCTATTCTCGAGCTTGCGGGCTGGTCGCTTCCGTTGCTGGTGGCGGACCTGTGGGCATGAGATGGCTCGGACTGTGCGACATGCTAACGACGCAGTTATCGCAACAGCGACGGAAACCAAAACAAGGAAGACGAAAAGCAAACCGAAAGTCTGCGATGTTTGAGGCAGAATGGCGCAAACTGCGCCGTCGATCGCGCTATGCTTATCAACACGTAGCTAAAAATGCACGAAATTGCTGGTGAGTCGTGGGGTTGTGGATTTGAGAAAGGTTGCAAGGCGACGAAAGGCGCGACAGGAGGAAGGTTGGGAATCATGGATCTCAGGAGCTAGACCCGAGAAACGTAAGTTTTGTCAATTGTACCCTCAAAATCGGGCCCACTTGAGATTTGCGAGGAAACCACTATCTTCGAATATTGAGCGACGTTTACAGCGCATCTCCTTTACTTAATTTACCGAGAACACTTACGTGTTGTTCAGAGTCGGTTTGAACGCAGCGGAGACAGTGGGTGGTTTGACATTTGTATTCCACACTACTGAGGCTGTTCAGACTGAATACAGGGTGCCCACACGAAACACAATCTCAATCCAACACAATTATGTAAGCGCAAGGATCACAACATGGAAACGGTAACATTTGACTTCGTAAATAGAAGTCCCGAGAACCTCTGTAAGGAGTTTAGGTTTGACAACCTGGAACTCCGACTCCTGTGGTATGTCCCCTCGATAATCTCCTAGGCACCACCGCTGAATTCACGGAGCGTTTGCTTTGCTGCTCATTTTGCGCTACCATACCACGACCCTAGACAACTCCTCGGGCAGTCACATGCCGCATGTGTTTCCCGCACTCGCTTGTCTGCCAGGCATTGCCAAACCTAGAGTAGGTTTCTGCCCAAAATTTCTTCCGAGAAAATGAAGCTCGGGAGCGTTGCGTTCACCTCGCCACGAGCCGCCGGATCTCTCGCAAGGAGGCTCGGTTTTTCTCCGAGGCAGAGATTCCGAACTCAAAGAGGGCAGCGGAAACAAAAACTTTCGCGTCGCTCTTGCCCGAACCCCCATGAGAATTGATTAGCCAGCCAATTCGTTTCAAAGAATGCTGCTTTTGACCCGGGCAGCATGCCAGCACAGAGCTCAGGAATTCCCGGAGCCTGCCGGTTCGGCAGCACTTCCAGGAGGCACTTGTTCCTCCCATTTCGTCCCCTCGACTGTTCCTCCCCACAACCCTCCCTCTGCTTTGCCTCATCTTCAAATTCGCATTACCACAACCCAGTCATTCTCAGAGTATACTTCTCAGATTACCAGCACCCTTAAGCCTACCCTCGTTTTTGTTACCAGAATTCTCTACCGTTAAGCTCCGCTTTCAAGGCCTGTAGCTTCTCGTTTACCGTTCCGACTTCGATTCAACTATGGCTGATTATTCGGCTGGTTATCCTACCTTCTATGAAGCGTTAGCTCTCTTTAGGAACAGGATTGCACTCGCGCAATCAGTGCTTCAAGTCCCGACCTCCACACCTCTGTATCTGGCTGCGGAGGAAGAGGACACGTGGACCGACGCCGCGTGGGACTCCTCTTCTGCTGCAGAGGAGTCTTCTGAGGCTCCAGAAGGCTCCTCTGTGACGGCAGAGACGTCTTATGAGGCTGCAGGGTACTACTCTGAAGCCTCACAAGATCATTCTGCTGGTGCTGAGGACATTTCGGAAGAGACGTCTTGTGAAGCTGTAACGTACGCTCCTGAAGCCTCACAAGATGTTTCTGGTGCTACTGAGGGCCTGACGGAGACTACAGAGGCTCCACTTGAGGCGGCAGAGGAGTCCAGCAGCAGCTGCAGCGACGGTGGCGTGTCAAAGAAAGAGAGCATCTCCAAAATCGGAATTTGCAGCGGTGACCATCACAGCAGCAGTTTCGGTTTTACCATGGCGTGGTCTCAAGTCACCAAAGAAGTGCTGAGTGGTGTTTTCAACACCTTAACAAACGGCAGAAACAGTGGGACCGAGAAATCGGCTGAAACTGCAGCAGTGGTGTGTAGAGCAGAGGCTGCAGTGGTGGGTGGTGCAGCGGTGGGTGGTGCAGTGGGTTCCACTGCAAGCTCAGCTCGGTCGATTGCAGGCAAGGGCTCAGCCTCAAGAATGGCAACAGACAGGCTGAGGGAGCTGCCTTCCCGCATCCCCAAGCCAAGCAAGGGCAGTGCAGGAGGTGCTGTGAAGCGTGGGACGAGGCCAGCAACAGCAAGTGCATACCTGCCGCCGTCCCTCATTCCCAAGCCACGGTCAGCCAAGACTGCACCTGCTGCGGTGGAAACTCTGGGGACGGCCGATGCTGTGGTAACCCGTCCTGTAGTCGCAGCAAGCAGCAGCACAAGGCAGCAGCAGGAGAGGAGGAATGGAGGTGAGGAATGCAGAGGGAGGCGGCCTACCAGGGGAAATAAGGCAACATCAGCAGCAGCAGCAAGGCCTCCTTGGAGGCCGTGAGGGCTTCAGTGTGATTTGGAGAGTGGAATGGTTGTGCTGATTGGAGAGAGCAGAGACCAGTCAAGGTACACCTGGTGAAGGCATGGGGTGGTGGACAGTGGGGAGGAAGGCGGCAACACTTTTTGCGCCCTGCTGGTCAGGGTGTTGTATCAACTGGATTGGGGATTGGAGCATGGAGGTTGGATTGTGGGAGGCGCTTATACGGCTGACGTTGCTCTCCAATGGGTCAGAGGCTGGGCCATGTGATGACCGAGGCTTGTCATGGGATGATGCTGCTGGTGTGTGCTGATTAGTAAGTTTAGGTTCTTCAAATGTAGTTATGGTAGTTATCTATGTATCTATATGCAATTTATATACAGTATAGATTCAATCAAACCTTGTTGGCAGAACAGAAACACATATGTACATGGTCAGCACTTATGGTAGTAAAACTGAAAACAAACGGGATGGTACCAGTTCTACGTGTACATGCATGGCAGATAGTGTTCATATTTATATTTGACACATGACATGAGCTAGATATGGGCAAACCATTTCACAAAAAAAGTGGCACAATGATTGCTGGGCGGCTGGAGGTGATGATAGTGGTGGTGGTGGTGGTAACGACGACTGGGGTTGGGTCTGATGGAGTCCGGCCGTGATGGTGACACAAGGCTAGTGTGTGATTCGCGTTGCGACCACCCAAGTGGGTGGAGTGTGAGGAGCAAGGAGAGAGCTGCCCACACGGCTTGGCTCGACCAGTGATGTGCAGAGGGGCATAGATAGAAACAGCGCGGCAGACAAGGGCCAGTGACGAGGGCTGTGCAGCAAAAGGCGCAGGATGGTGGTGGCCAGAGAGCACTCGGGGTAAAAACGGTGCGTGGGCGTGGTGGCCACCGTAGACCCTCAGGTGCTTCGTGCACGCCCCTGCTCTCCCGCATGGCTGCCTGGCACCATGCCGCTGCTGCATGTGGCACTTTGGAGCGAGATGGTTTTGGAGCGAGATGGTTCTTAGTGAAGGGGTGTGTGAGCGAGGGAGCGAGGCAGTTAGTGATTTTGGCATGTGCGAGGCAGGTGGCACGAAAGCAGCGACATCGGAACAGCAGCAGAGAAGCAGGTTGAGGCGGCTTCAGAGAGCGCGGAAGACAATACAGCGCCGACTCTGATGATGGGCACGAGACATGCAGTGCACAGAGAGGCATGCAGCACACAGAGAGGCATGCAGCACACAGAGAGGCATGCAGCACACAGAGAGGCATGCAGCACACAGAGAGGCATGCAGCACACAGAGAGGCATGCAGCACACAGAGAGGCATGCAGCACACAGAGAGGCATGCAGCACACAGAGAGGCATGCAGCACACAGAGAGGCATGCAGCACACAGAGAGGCATGCAGCACACAGAGAGGCATGCAGCACACAGAGAGGCATGCAGCACACAGAGAGGCATGCAGCACACAGAGAGGCATGCAGCACACAGAGAGGCATGCAGCACACAGAGAGGCATGCAGCACACAGAGAGGCCCAGAGCACACAGAGAGGCCCAGAGCACACAGAGAGGCCCAGAGCACACACCATACAGACACACGTGCAGCACAAACACATGCCCACACAGACACACAGGTGCATGCATGCATGGACAGAGATGGTGAGAGACAGTGGCACATACACGGGCGAGACGAGGTGAGTCAACCAGCTTGAAAGTACGAGTGCGAGGATGACGAGCAACAGCAATCAATCCCTGTGGTACTCACGTGCAGAGCAGGCTGTGCTTGAAGGGGCAGTGGGACGATGAAAAAAGAAAACACGATGCTCAAGGGCTTGACAGCATGGGCCACGAGGGGTGTAATGGGTAGGGGCGGAGGGGGCAGCATGGGGGGCAATGGAGGGGGCAATGGAGGGGGCAATGGGGGAGGCAATGGGGGGGGCAATGGGGGGGGCAATGGGGGGGGGCAGCAGAGGGCACTGACCTCAGGGAACTCCGCATTGCCATCGCCACGGACCAATCGCGTCATGCCACGTGGACCACTGCCGACCTTAACCATCATCTGGGCGAACTCGAGTGTGAAGCACGCCCCACTGTATTGCTGCCGCGCACAGGCAGGAGACACATGCCCATGCGGCCAAGGGCGATTGGAGAGAGTTAGGGCAGGCAAAGCTGCTTGACTTGACTGCATATAGACTGGCATGAGTGGCATGAGTGGCATGGCTGGCATGACTCACAGCGAGTTGCAGGAGGGAGAGCGCCTTGCCGGCGATGCGCACGCCATTGCTGGCGGCAGATGGGGAGAGGAAGGAGAAGGCCGGACACGACGGCAGGCGCAGCTGCACACGTGGTCATATTGCCACGCGGGGTGGAGAAGGGGAGAGAGGGTGGCAGGCGGCGGGTGAGAGTGGGGCAGTGGAAGTGAAGGGGGTAGTGAGGGAGTATGTGGAGGGAAGGGTGGAGAGTACGAGGGCGATGGACGCGAGGAGAGGAGTGCGAAAATCGAGATGTGGGAAAAATATGTTTGGGGTAGAGGTGTGTGGGGTATACGGGGCACAGGGAGGAATGCGCAATGTGAATATGTGATGGGGGGAAGCACGGCGATGTGGGGATGGTGGTGCGATGTGGCAAGGAAAGGCAAGGAGGCGAGGGCGACTGACAGCAAGGGTGTTGAGGGCGCGGCAGGTCTGCAGGGATGCGGACACCACGGGGCGACTGCCCGCCCTGCCATACCATGCCATGCCATGCCCATGGTGCACGTGGGGTGGGGGACACGGGGGGGAGAACACGGCGAGTGTGCGAGTGAGTGAGAGGGCCAGTGAGTGTGTATGTGAGGGTGAGTGCATGTGAGTGTGAGAGAGAATGTAAGAAAGACCGAGAGTGTGTGCATGAGGATACGTGTATGTAAGAGAGAGTGGTGTGTGCGTGCGTGCGTTTGCGCGAGGGAGGGGAGGGGCGGAGGGGCGGACTTGTGGAGGATGGCGGCGGAGATGGGCTGGTCGGGGCGCATGGCGACGAGCGCCAGTATGGGCGCCAGCGACGCCGAGCGGTTGAACACGAAGTCGCATGCCTGGGAGGGGCCGCGCAGGGGCGCATGGGCGCACGGGGGCGCGCAGGGGCGCACAGGGAGCACGGGGGAGACGAAGGGCAGGGGGGTCGAAACACGGACTGTGAGGTAAGACGGGTGAGGAATAGACACGTCAAGTGACGGCATGTGCCGTGGTCCCCATGGCCATGTGCCGCTCGCATGCAGTGCACGACAGTGCACGAATGCACCTTGGTGGCGAAGTACCTTGGTGGCGAAGTACCTTGGTGGCGAAGTACCGTGGTGGCGAAGTACCTTGGTGGCGAAGTAACACGACAAGGGTTGCAGCCCGATGCCCTTCACAGGGCCGCCTTTATTCCCCCCATTGTTCCCACCACCCTTGCCTCCGCCCCCCTTGTTCCCCCCTCCGCTGTTTCCCCCGCCGTTGTTCCCTCCACCCTTGTTCCCCCCGCCGTTGTTCCCCCCGCCCTTGTTTCCCCCACCCTTGTTTCCGCCCCCCTTGCTCTTCTCCACGCCAATCGGCGGCAGGTGCACTTTAAAGCCGAGCGGTCGCCGCGCAGCGCAGGGGCGGGGCGAGGCTAGCGCGAGCAGCGCGAGGAGCGCGACGACAACGGCTGCTCGCAGGCTGGATCGCTGCGACTGGCTGAAGCTCGCGACGCCGTGCGACGAGTTGGACCGCGAGCGCGCGACTAAGGAGAGGTTTCTAGGCGATGGCGGGGAGCGCAGCATGACGTCGGACGGGCGCTCGCGACGACCATGGCTGCGACGGCAGGGAGCGATCGCCCACCCTTGTGCGACGAGCATCAGCGACGGGGTTGCGAGGATAGTGTTATAACACCTCGCTACCCACTGGGTCAAAACGAGGGTGTTATTTGGCGCAGCGGAGTGCCCTTAACACAGCCCACAGGCGTTACAGTGTAGTCGGCATGGGCGAGCGCGTATCGGCGTGGGGAGAGCAGCGACGGGCGCGCATGGACTGCGCAGGACGGGCAGAAGACACCGCGAGGCGCGACGTTAATGCACTACTCGTACGGCTGCCGGTGCACGCGATGTTTGGAATGAGGTGGGACGCTAAGGCACTACTATTTCGTCAAGCAGCACTTCGATTCCATTTGATTTCCACGCAGGTCGACTGATTTACAATGGTAGGGCGCGGTGCTTCCAGGGCTATCAGGCACGCGTGGGCGCAGGCGAGAGTGGTGGGTGTCAACTTATTGGGCTGCATGCACCGTCTATTACGGCCAGCAAGACTACAAAAATATCTCACTTCGGCACAGCGCTAAACGACACTGGAGGCAAGGTTATCGCATTCAGAGGAATGGGGTGGGGAGGGGAGTGTCGGTCAGGTATTGAAGGCATCGCGCATGCCTGGGTGGTCGCGCGTCAGCCTTCCCCGTGACAGACAACCCCTTCGTTTCGCCAGTCCCTTTTTCCTTCTGAAGGCTGCCGAGCCGAGCCGAGGTTGGGCAGATGGGCGGAGGGGCACGCAGCTAACGGGAAGTGAAGCGCCAAGAAGGGAGGCGAAGGCGGCGGCGAAGTTGCGACAGCTGTTCTGTCTGGGGTGGTGTTCCTGGTGCCTGATGACGAGATGGACGGTGCGGGCTGTAACCGAATATACGAGTAAAACTGGTTTCGCTACGTCGCACAAAAACGCCAACCGTTCGTGAAACTGCTTTCTAGTACGACACTCCCTCACCCCCCTCCTCCCCGCCCCACATGGTCGGCTGGACGACGGGAGTGCCAAAAAGGGAGGACGGATGCGCCGAAGGGTCGGCCGCAGGGCTGCCGCCGACCTCATCTGGCCCCCGTCCCCACCCCAACTGCTCCCCCCATTCCTTCCCCTCCCCTCCTCCCACCCCCACGCCCGTGACCCATCGCCCGTCACCGTTTCTTTCCTCTACTCTACCCACGTTCCCCTGCCTGAACCAAAGTTCGTCAGTTATGGTCAGGTGTGGATATGTGCCAGGGCTAGCGCTCGTTGGCCCTGTTAGGGCGTGTAACCATTTTGATTTTTAGGGTTTTTGCGGACTGTCCGTATATTTCCAAACGGACGGTCCTACTAACGGGAATAGGACCGTCCGACTTGACATTTCGGCATGTTTGCCCCGTCCGGAAGGTATCGTGACACTTTTTGCATGTACGAGGCATGCGCGAAAACTGTAGCTTCGCACGATGCACAGTACTCGCATAACCCAATATACAAGAGCTCGCCATATTCGCCTATCCACATCGCGGCTCGATTTCAAACATTGAAAAAATTACAACCACTTCCCGCAAGCAGGTATCCCGCAGTCTAGGCCACAATATGAGACACAACTCCCGAACACAAGCAGTGGCCATTTTCCTTCCATGTCGCGCCGTCTCCTGCTCTCTGTACTACACCTTCTGTACAGAGGGTACCAGGAGATTATCGTTCGTCCGTCGTTTGACTATCTAGTCGATGTTTTATCATTGCTAGAGAATGACGAACACAACGTTATCCAGCAGGACCGTGAAAATCAGAGAGAGCGGTGGGATTATCTCCTTGGAGCTATGCCGCGACAGCTTTTCACTGAGACATTCAGAGTTAATCGACGTGTGTTTCACTACCTTATTGACGCATGGGTCGCTCGAAATGGTGACAAGCGGCGGGTTGTACCCATCGAGACATGTGTCGCCATGAAACTTGTCTATCTCGGGACTGGAGCTACGTATCGGCAGCTTGGGCTTCAGTTTGGGGTCGTACCTCAACACGCACAGAGGATTGTGCTCGGGTTTATAGACTTTGGTGGTTGAGGTTCTGCTACCTCTGTGGGTAGCGTGGCCTGATGAGGACCAATTGGAGCATGTGGCCAAGGAGTTTCGTTTCGAAGGGGGTATTCCAGGGGTTATCGGCGCATTAGACGGGACATACATTGAGTGCCGGGGTTTCGGACGTGACAAGGAAGACTTTAAGAATCGCAAAGGGTTCTACTCGATGATCCTACAAATGGCATGTGACTCTAACGGCATAATTTGGGACTACAATGCAGGCTACCCCGGGAGCGTCAACGACGCACGAGTCTTCAACAACTCCCCTCTGAGGCGGCGCATGGAGGCAGGGGAGCGCGGGAACTACATGCTCGTGTGCGACGCCGCGTACGCCCTGAAGAACTACACGTGCGTCCCGTGGCGTGCTACACCGGGTACGGCTCTTCCAGAACACCACGACAAGTGGAACAAACAGCAGTCAAGGCAACGCATGGTTATAGAGCAGGTGAACGGGCGCCTCAAGGGGAAATGGCGTATACTAGACTGCCGCATGGAATGCCACAGCCAGCGCGTTCCCCAAGTGATCAGTGCCTGCGTGGCATTGCACAACATTGAGCTGACAATCGGCTCCCGGGATCGGCTCGGCCCCCCGCGAGAACGCCACCGATGGTGGCTGGAGGGTCCCGCGGCGGCGCTCCGACTTACCGGCCCGGAGGTGCGCGGCTTCACTCATCGTCTTCGGATGAAGAGGTGGACTGCGGCGATCTACGCCTCATGGCTCGTCGCGCATCCGCCGCTTGACAAAACACATCACGGGTGAGTGCCTCAAATTTCTCCCATTTCTCATCCTGCTTCTTGTCGAAATGGTCGCGAAGCTCTCCGAGCATGTCGGCAGTAGAAGCGGGCCCTGTCTTGCTCGCCGATTTGCGGCCGACGCCTTTCGCGGTGGCCTTGCCTTTCTTTGCGCCCGTGGACTCGTCCTGCTTGCGGGGATATTGGTACCAAGCATTGCGTGAACACCCTTCCCCTCCATTGTCAGAACTATGCATTTATATGCTCTAGGCTGTAGTGGGGCACTCCTTATGGGGTACAGCCTAATTAGGGTTTGCTATACAAACCTTGTACTGCTGTCATTCTAGTCATTCTTCTTTCTCATTTCTGACATGGTTTCAGAGCAGGTTCCCTAGTGGGAACGTTTTTTTTAGGGCCCACCACGATAGATTTTTCCTGCCCTACCCGAAGCGCGCCTCGCGCCTGCCTCACCTGCGCCGTCGCGCGCCCTGCCCTCCCGGCCCGTCGCGGCCCTGCCCTAACGGCCCGTAGCGGCCCGGACCTAGCCGCCCGTCGCGGCCCTGCCCTGCCGCCCCCCCGTTGCGGCCCTGACCTCGCCGCCCGTCGCAGCCCTGCCCTGCCGCCACTCGTCGCGGCCCTGCCCTCAGCCGCTCGTCGCGGCCCTGCTCTACCGCCGCCCCGTCACGGCCCTGCCCTACCCGCCGTCGCGGCTCTGCCCTGCCGCCGCCCGTCGAGCGCCGGCCCTACCCGCCCGTCGAGCGCCTGCAGCCGCCCGTCGGGCGCCTGCCCTACCCGCGCCAGCCGCGCGCTTGCCGTACCCGCCGCCGGTGGCACCTGCCCTACCCGCCCCTGGTGAGCACCTGCCCTACCCGCGCTACCTGCGCACCTGCCCTACAAGCTGCCTGCCTGCCGAGCCGCGCCGCCCAGCCGAGCCGCGCCGCCCAGCCGAGCCGCGCCGCCCAGCCGAGCCGCGCCGCCCAGCCGAGTCGCGCCGCTCTGCCGAGCCGCACCGCTCTGCCGAGCCGCGCCGCCCTGCCCTACTTAGCCGCGCTGCCCTGCCCGCGCTACTCCTACTGCTACAGCTGTTACTCCTGCTACTACTGCTTCTGCTGCTACTGCTGCTACTGCTGCCACTGCTGCTACTGCCGCCATGGCTAGCCCTACTGTTCTTACCTTCGATGCTGAGGGCCGTGCGGTTGATTTCGAAGTTTGGGTAGATGACCTGCAGCTCTTTCTTCAGTGCGACTCTAGGGACGGAGTCTCGTTTTTCGATCACACGTCCGGCGCCTCTGTTGCACCTGCTGCCACTACTGACAGTACGGTTCGCTCGCAGTGGACTACTCGTGACGCAGTTGTTTGCCTTGCTGTTCGTAGTCACCTACCGTCTGCTGAGTGCGCGCACTTTGGCCAGTACAAGACTGCTAAGTCTTTGTATGACGCTGTCGTCGCGCGCTACTCCTCCCCTGCCACTGCTGCCCTCAGCCGCCTCATGATGCCGCATTTGTTCCCTGACCTGGCCGCTTTTGCCACAGTCGCTGACCTCATCACTCACCTCCGCACTAGTCACGAGCGTTACTTTCTGCTGGTCGTTGACGACTACTCGCGTTACACCACAGTCTTCCCCTTGCGCCGCAAGGGTGAGGTCA